TTTTATATTGACAGTATTATTGATATTTGAATTATCTCTTATCGTGACTTACTTTTCTAAATCACTAATTGATCGTTTTGTTTCAGCTTCAACATATTGTACTAAAGCCTTATGTAAATCATTAAAATGTCGATAACGTTTATACATAGTCCATTCAAATGGACCATGTCTTGTTGTTACACAATATCTAAGGAAAAACAAAATAAATTTTTTGCTTTAGATATCAATACAAAGAAATATTTATTTATACTTACAAATAAGGATTTAAAAATTCAGCGAAGCCTGCATAAGTACGCTCGGCAACAATTGATGTAACATGAATAGGAACATTAGGAACAAATGTTCGGCCACTATGATCAAATATATGATCAATAGTAAATTTATTAGCTAATCAAATTAATAGAATGAATAAAAATGAAAAATAGATATCTAAACACACCTCGTTGATTAAATTCTTCTACTGGTTCATTAAAATTATTATCAGGATATGGTAAATATTCATTATGTTTTCGATCTGGATGACCAGCACTAATAGCTAATTCAGCCATACCAGCTGTGTGTCGAACCAAAGCACTGACACCGCCTGTATCATCATGGCGTGCCATCTGAAAATAAATATTCATGATGTTTATCAAAATAAACTAGGACATTTTCTTCTCTCTCTATTACCATTTGTACTGAAGGTTTTATATATAGATAATCCAAAAAAAAATAAAATAAAAAGCTTTTCGTTGATTGACTAGTATCAAGGAAACTTAATAAAAACTAATGTTAATCATACCAAAATGATTTATGGAAGAAAGAAAGTAATACTTTATATATATACATATATTTATTTATTTATTTATTTATATACATAGGAAAGCAAAAAAAAAAAGAAGTTTATGATCATTTTTTTCTTATGTAGTTATCATTGTGGTGATGAATAATATTCTAGAGTAAAGATTAGAAGAAAAAAAAAGAAAAGATGTAAGATAATTTAATATTTTTATCTATAACACTAAATATATATGTACTCTAAATATGATTCCAATAAACTAATGAGTCACTGAGTCTTTTTTTTCAATAACCTATTGTAAAAGAATTAATATGATTATTATTCAAAGGTAAAATAAGCTAGTAAGTCAGTGTGTTTATATTCATAAAGAAACCTTTAGTATTCACAGGTAAAAAAATGGAGTCAAAATTTTTTTTTTCTTCTTTTGTTGCATCGCACAGAACATACACACAGTTCTTCTTACTTTTTTTCTATTGTTAGTCCTCTGATGCATTGACGAATGGAAATGATCTAATGAGATGTCACTATGATAAACTTCTTTTTTTTTTTATAATTAACTTAAAAAATCTTTCGATCTTATTTAAAATATTCAGATTTATTTAATTCTTAAAATTTAAATAAAAGAATTTTTCTTTGTTAAGTTATGTATACTTGATTTTAATTATGATCTTTTTTTGATTGATAAAAATATTGAGTTTTATCTAACATGCTTGAAATTATTCTTGCATAATTAGATAATAAAAAATTTTCTTATGCATAATGCATCATAGATAATCTCTTTCGAATGAAAATTATTAGATTTCCTTGCATAATTTATTATTTATTTTATTAATATATAATGTTATTATTAATATCACGAATAAAGTCATCAAAAGAAAAACATCCCAGTGACTTAATCGAATAAAATCAACAATAGATGAAGAGTACAAAAGAAAAAAAACAAAAATCGATTATTGATTTACTTCTAATTCACTATTGAGACTTGTTACTCGAATTAGATGGAAATAGAATTTAACAATTATTCTTAACTTTAGAATACTCAAATCTCATGAGGAAATTTTTCAATTTTCTCTGAATTGATTGATGCATGTATTCTACACCATTCGAATATCAAATCTGTTGTACTTTGTGATATAATGTACCGAGATGTTTATCACGATACATTTTCAATACGCGATTTAAATCTTACCTTCATCATGTTTTTCTATTAATTCATCTGTACACATGAATAATTACTATTTTTCAGTTTAATTCGAATTAGTAACGTCTTTCATTTTTGGAGTCAAAGACAGTGAGATTTTAAAAGGTCGACCTGTCTCGAGAGAATCCCTGCTCTATTAT